AGAAAGAAAGAACATTTATGCTGAGACCTAAAAGGGTAAACAAGATAAAAAAAGAAAAGACTAGAAGGCAGTCCAGGCAAAGAAACGGGATTTACTAGGGCCATAGTGTAGAATGGAATTTAGTCATTTCAAGGAATTAAAAAGTCAACGTGGCTAGTAAAGAGGAGCAAGGTGGAAATGCTACATGACGGTAGAGAGATGAATGAGGGAAATGAACATACACAAGCTGCAGATAACCCAACTTACATTCTTTCTCAAATTGTAAGAATTTCCATTTCATTTATTAAAAATAATAATTATACATTTATACTGATTTGGGGATTCTGAACTAAAGACTCACAGTGCTGCAGATGAATTATATCATGATTTCCAAAAACTGTGACTTGACCCCATTGTATTTCTGGCAATTTAATAACTAGTTATATCACAGGCTCCAATTTTACAAGCACAAAGACTAGATCATTGTGTTTATAAATATTCATATGTTCTCATCTGATGATACAGGACATAAGGAACCAATCTAAAAATGAGAAAATAGGCTCAATATTCCTCTCAGCTTTAAAGAACTTTGGTTAAAGGCATCTTATTAAACTAACTCATTTTGAACTCAAATTAGAGAATTATTCTTTGGAGGACAAAAACAGTGGCACAGACTTCAACATCAGGTAGACATACGAAGGTAATGGGATAGTCCTTTCAAAACACCATTTTCTATCCTTCCTGGCCTGAATTTTTATGTGACAGCCTTACCATATACTTCCAACAGCCTAGCACTATACTAGTCCACAAACTCCCTCAAGACATTTATCTCCTCCTAATAGAAACACAAGTAACACTAAATGAGAGCTCCTCTAGCTCCCAATATTCTTTTCACTTCTCTCTTCTTCTTAGTTCTTTTATGGTACCATCCATTTTCCTATTCAGGTCAGAGCAAAGGCTTCCCAGATGTGGGAATTTTCTGCTACAGTGAAAATAAAAAGTCTGAAAGTAAGATTTCATAAAGATTAGATTAAAGGTCTCAAATGAACCATATTTTAAACATTTCCCACATCTAGACTGACCTAGTAAGACCTGATTACTATTACACAGTGTTCATAATGTTAAACTACATAGAAAATTTATAGTTCATTAGTATATATAAAATTCTCATGTTTTCTCCAGGTAAGATATAGAAAAACAAAAAGAACTACTTTTCCCTCTCAAGATCAACCTTAGAAGTCTTTTACCCTCATCTAATAAATTTGAAGGACTGAATTTTAGAACTACTGTAACTTAATGATGAACTGATCCTGCTGTCATATGAGGTCTCACAATTTACTTGACGAACTTGCCACTGTCCGGTTACATTGACAGTACTGTACAAACAACTCAGTAAGGTTTCATAACCTTGGTATATCAGTATCTGACAGTTGTACTCCAATCATCATGTGGAGGTATCTTGCTGAGCGGCATTCATTACTACTGTGTGTTTTTGTGTGCCATCACAAGAATATCAGAACTTGAATATGGCAATGAACAAACATTGAATTTCTTGTTTAATGTGGCAAGAGTAGAAGTGAAATCAGGGACATGTTAGTGCAATTATATGGGGATAATGCCATGAAGAAAACAGCAATATACAAATGGATTAAACGTTTTTCTGTGGAGAAAGTGTCACTGATGAAGACAGGTCAGGGCAGCTAGTAATGAGCAGAGCTGATGATAACATTGCAAAAATTCGTCAATTTGTGTCAGCTGACTATGAGAAGCATAGCAGACCAAGAAAAGTATCGATAGACAAACAGGAAAATCTTAACTGAAAACTTTATCATGAGAAAGGTGTGGCTCTTGCATCACAACAATACACCAGCTCACAAGGCAGTAGTTTCTAGCCAACAAACAAATAATTGTATTGGAATACCCTCCCTACTCACCTGATCTGCTCCCCTACCCCATGACTTTTTTCTTTACCTGAAGATAAAGGAAATATTGAAAGATATTTTGATGACATTTAGGACAGCAAGGGTAATGTAACAACTCTGATGGCCATACCAGAAAAGGGGTTCCAAAACTGCTTTGAAGGGTGGACTAGACACTGGTATCAGTGCGTAGCTTCCCAAGGAGAGTATTTCAAAGGTGACCATAGTGATATTTGACAATGAGGTATGTGGCCCTTTTTTTTTTTTTTTTTGAGACAGAGTTTCACTATGCTGTTCTTGAGAGAGTGCCATGACGTCTATTCACAGCAACCTCAAACTTTGAGCTTACGCAATTTTCTTGCCTCAGCCTCCCAAGTAGCTGGGACTATAGGCGCCTGCCCCAATGCCTGCTATTTTGTTGTTGTTGTTGCTATTGTAGCTGTCATTGTTGTTTAGCAAGCCTGGGCCAGGTTCAAACCCACCAGCCCAGATATATGTGGCTGACACCCTAACCACTGAGTACAGGCACTGAGCCATATGTAGCACTTTTTCTAGGATGAGTTTGTGAACTTAATTGTCTACACTTCATATATTTATCTAGGGCTAAGATTCTCTGAAGTAGACTGTGACTGCAAAAAGAACCAGGCCAAGAACTGACAAGACCTGTTTAATCAACTAAAAGGCAACAAAAAAGAGAATAAGAAGAATAGTGCCTATCTCATAGGTTTGCTTGGAGAATTAAATGAGTCAGTGCCATGTAACTGTGGCACATAATTACACTTAAAAAAGATTTGTTATTCCTATTACCTAATAATGGTGTTTAATGGGCTGAATTATAATCCCTTAAAACAGCAGTTCTCAACCTATAGGTTGCAACCCACAGGAACTGTATTAAAGGGCCCCGGCATTAGGAAGGTTGAAAACCACTGCCAGTGGTTGAAACCACTGCCTGTGGTTGAAAACCACAGCCTGAGCAACACAGGGAGACTTTGTCACTTTAAAAAAAAAAAAAAAAGGTAACTGCTGTTTTAAGTCACCCAATCTGTGGTAATTTGTTACAATAGCCCTAGAAAACTAATACAAATATTAATATTAATCCAATGGCACCTAAGTAAACCTACTTGGAAAGATTATGGAAAAGCTTCGAAATTATTCTGCTGTACTGATTTAAAGAACAAGACAACACTGGAATGCACTTAAATAGTATTTAAGTCAATAATGTTAATCATCATTCCTCTTTCAAAGATATTTCAAATTATTAGTAAAGGCTATACAAGACAAAAGGAAAAGGTTTAAACTTTCACTTAGAAAAGATTCATAGGGGGCTCAGCGTCTGTGGCTCAAGCGGCTAAGGAGCCAGCCACATACACCTAAGGTGGCAGGTTCGAATCCCCAGCCCAGGCCCACCAAACAACAATGCTGGCTGCAACCAAAAAATGGCCAGGCGTTG